AGGCTCCCTACAAACCACTGAGGTAGGAAGGGATTTGACTGATGAGAACACAGACTTAGTGTGTTAAATCACAGCCCAAGGTCACCAGCCCAAATCCTTCCCAGCAGAGGTCATGCTCTCTACTATTCCAGCTTGGGTTTCTTACTCTCCATCCTCACTTGGCTTCCTTTTGCTGCCATCCTTTGGTGAGCTGCTCAGGGGTGCAAAGTTGTTTTGAGAACAACCAAGTCCAAACTTAAGTTATCTCCTTTCTCCATATCCCTAAATAGAGTACTAGCAATAGCTCAGTATACAGTGTCTTACTAGGTGTCAAACACCATGCTACACATTTTATATTTATTTAACTTAATGCTCACAAAAGCCCCATGAAGTACCCGCCATTATCATACCCATTTTATCGTTGAGAAAACCAAGGCACATAGAAGTTAAGCAATGGCCAAGGTCAAAGAGCTAGTAGTGAGTGGTGGAGCTGGGATTCTAACCAGGCAGACTGGCTCTTGCCAAACTGCAGAACAGAAAATTAAGAATTAGCTGCAGAGTACTTAAAATTGATGGATTCGAGGATCTTCAGGCTAATCCTCTGCCCCAGATTGCCTTGTCTGAAAACCCCTCCAGAAAGACAGAGTGCTGCTGATTTGATTGCAATTCTGGAGATAATACCAACCACCTACTTCTTGGGGAGTCCAGAGTCACTCCCTCCTGCTCCATCATACCTTGTAGAGTTTTCAATGTGGATAACAACTTGAAAACGTGTTCTTGCCATGGGTGGTGTGGTTGGGTGTGGAGATGGGTTGGCATGGGGATGGGGGATAGTTGAGCCGTTGGAAGTTAGAACAGTAGTGTACCAGTGTACCCAGTCTGCTACCAAGGATCCCCCACCCTTCCTCCCCCTAACTCCCTGGCCCAGATGGAATACCCATAGTCTAGACCAGGGCTTCCCAAACTCCCCTGATCATAAGGATTACCTGCAGGGCTTATTAAAAATATAGACACTCAAGCCTCTGCTCTGAAGATTTTCATTCCATAAGACTGAGGTGAGATCTGGGTCTAGATGGTTCTATTCTTAGACACAGGTCATTGGTCAGTTAACAACACACGTCAGTGGCGTGCTTTCCCGATGCAAGAAGCTGGCGATTCAGAATGAGTCGGACTCAATCCCTTCCGTTGATGAGCTCAGGGCCTACAGGGGTACTGACAAGTAAACATATAAGTTTACTTTAAGACATGGTGGGAAAAGTACAGGGTATGGTGGGAAAGCAGGGAGGGGTATCTAACCCAGACCAGGTGGTGGAGGAGTAGGAGATCCTAAGGCCACCAGGACCGACGCAGCACACACTCTCATCCTGAGATGAATGGGATCTTTCAAACTGCTCCACCCACCAGCTGGAGGGTCCCCACATTCTGTCCTCTCTTGCTTCTGGATCCGGAAATCACCTGCTGTGGGTCAAGGGTGGTGGTGGAGGGGCTTGGTCTGAGGCTCCTCCCTGCGTCTGTCTTTGTCCTCTTCCCAAGCCTTATGCTTGTTTGCTTCAAATATGACCCTCACTTTTCCCATGGGTCATTTTATCTTTGTTTTGTTTGCCATGAGCAGCACTGCTCATCTCAAATGACAGGCTGGCTTAAATGGATGCGTTTGACTGAAGTGGTGCCAGAGTGGACTCTGTGGGATCAGTGCACCTCTTCTCCCCACTCCCCCCTCTCCAAGCCCTCCTCTGGATATTTCTCTGAAGAGGTGGGCACAGACGACATGTCACTGGGGCTGTGACACTCTGGCATTACACGGAGGGACTCAGCCCATATGGAAGAGGTTGTCTGGTCCTTACCCCTGTGTCATGGAACTCAGTGGCTCCTAATTCCCTGGTGTCAAAATCCAATTCATCCTGCTGGATCAGGTGCTGTCTGAGTTCCCTAGGCCCCCTGAGGAGATCACAGGAAGGGAGGGAGCAGAGCTCCTGTCTTTTGTCAGCTGTGGCAAGTTTGGGTGATTAAGCTAAAAAAGCAAAGTCATTTTGGTCCAGAGGATTAGTTTTGAGGTGTGTTGCAAATCTAGAAGCAACTTATTGCCTGGGAGGCAAACCAAACCCAAGATGACTCTCAGCTAATTGCTTGCCTTTCCTTGTGCCAAGCCTAACTCCTCAGTATATAAAGGCCAGCCTCTTCTCTGTCCCCATCCTCTGCCTTCATCCCTCTAGGCTCTTGCTAAGGGATTGCTAGCTGACCTCCAAGCTCTCTTACCATGAACAGACAAGTCTGCAAGAAGTCCTTCAGTGGCGGCAGCCAGGGCTTCTCGGGTCGCTCTGCCGTGGTCTCAGGAAGCAGCAGGATGAGCTGTGTGGCCCGCTCGGGGGGAGCCAGCGGAGGGGCCTGCGGGTTCCGGGGTGGGGCGGGTGGCTTTGGCAGTCGCAGCCTCTACAGCCTGGGTGGCAACAAGAGCATCTCCATCAGCGTGGCCGGTGGCTCCCGGGCTGGTGGCTTTGGGGGAGGGCGTAGCAGCTGTGGCAGTGGCTTTGGGGGTGGCTATGGA